TTTTTTTTTTTTTTTTTTTTTTTTTTTTTTTTTTTTTTTTTTTTTTTGAGACAGAATCAATGGCGTGATTTTGGCTCACTGCAGCCTCTACTTCCCGGGTTCAAGCAATTCTCCTGTCTCAGCCTACCAAGTAGCTGGGACCACAGGTGCACTCTGCCTCACTCAGCTAATTTTTGTATTTTTAGTGGAGACAGAGTTTCACCATACTGGTCAGGCTGGTCTCGAACTCCTGACCTCAGGTGATCCACCCACCTCGGCCTCCCACGGTACTGGGATTACAGGTGTGAGCCACCACGCCCAGCCCAGTTCCCCTCTTTAAAGTGCACAGTTCAGTGGTTTTTAGCATATTCATAAATATGTGCAACTCTCACTGTGACCGATTTTGGAACATTTTCATTACTCCCAAAAGGAAAGTCAATACCCATTAGTGGTGCCTTCACCAATTTCCTCCCCAGCCTTGGATAGCCACTAATCTACTTTCTCTATGGATTTGCCCATTCTGGGCATTTCATATAAATGGGATCATACAATATGTGACATTTTGGGACTAACATATTTAACTTAGCAGAATATATATATATATATTTTTTTGAGATGGAGTATCACTCTGTCGCTCAGGCTGGAGTGCAGTGGCGCAGTCTTGGCTCACTGCAACCTCCGCCTCCAGGGTTCAAGTAATTCTCCTGCCGCAGTCTCCTGAGTAGCTGGGACTACAGGTGCATGCCATCACGCCCAGCTAATTTTTGTATTTTTAGTAGAGACAGGGTTTCACCTTTTGGCCAGGATAATCTTGATCTCCTAATCTTGTGATCCACCAGCCTTGGCCTCCCAAAGTGCTAGGATTACAGGTGTGAGCCACTGCGCCCGGCCACTTCATTCCTTTTTAAATTTGTTTTGAGACAGGGTCCCACTGTGTCACCCAGACTGGAGTGCAGTGGTACAATCAGAGCTCACTGAGCCTTTGACCTACCGGGCTCAAGCAGTCCTGCTTCAGCCTCCAGGTAGCTGGGGAACAGGTATATACCGCCATGCCTGGCTAATTTTTTTTATTTTTAGTAGAGATGGAGATTTGCTATGTTGCTCAGGCTTGTCTAGAACTTCTGAGTTCAAGTGCTGGGATTACAGCTGTGAGCCACACGGCTCCTTGCTGTGACCAGTGCTTACTGCTCTCACATATGTGCCGCACCCATGCACATATTGAAATATGTGAAATGGCCATTTTATAGGTCAAGAATGGCAGATACCAAAGTTTCATAGGGTACCACCTCAGGATGACCCCATCAGATAGGCAGCATTGATACAAATCAATACTGATTTCTTTCTCAGATGAGAAAACTGAGGCTCAGAGAGAGAATTGACTCAACCGAGGAAACACAGCCAGGATGGCGCAGAGCTGGGATCCAAATTTCCGTCTGTTCCTCCGGCCTCCCTTTGTACTTGGTGATGCTACTGCTGACTCACCAGCCGGGGATGAGAGCCTCGGCTAATTTGTTCAGCAGCAGGGATGGGTTTCCCTGCACCATCCACACTCCCGCCACTGTTCAGCGTGGGCTTCCCATGTGGCTACTGGACGCCTTGTGGGAAGGGGCGGGCATTGGGGTGGGAACGGGGACTGAGCAAGTTTGTGGATTTCTCGTCTGTAGGGCCTCAGACAGCATGGTCCTCCCCCGCCCCACCCTGAGCCAGCGAATGCAGGCCCTTGGCCCTGCTGCAGCTGGGAACACTGAGCCGGGCACATCCCCCTGGGAAGAACTGCTCCACATTCGGCAGTTCCCTGTTTATGGAGGAGGACAGCAGAACCCCCAGGGGTGGGCATTGGATCCCAGCCCTAAGAAGGCTGTCTGGATTTTTGTGCCTTTTTTTTTTTTTGGAAGCTTTCTTTTTCAGAGGAGGGAACAAAAGGCTTAGAGAGGTTGAGTATTTTGCTCAAGGTCATTCAGCCAGCCAGGAGCTGAGCGGGGACAAGATGCTAGGATTTGGCTTCCCAATTCCTGTTTATTTCCACCTGACATCCCTCTCTGCCTCCCCCACCCTTCCTGGGCCCCCCTGTTGTTGTATGTGGTGGTCTGTCCATGCTGCCCCCCACCACCTTCCAGTGGGTATGAACTGCTTAGGGGTGCTGAGGCCCAGGAACTGTCTGGGTGAGGCTCGAACACCCACTGGCCACCTGCCAGACTTGGACACTCCCACCTGTGACGCAGAGAGCCCACGGGGCTGGTCGAGACATGAAGATGCTCTCGGCACCCAGCACCCCGGTGGGTGGCGGAACGGGTTTGGGCCCTTTCCCCACCTGCTCCCACATACTAGGGCCCACCCGTAGCTCAGCCCATGGGGGTCCTGCCTCTGGCTGGGCCTGGGACTGCAGGGCCCTCGTGCAAGAGACACAATGCCAGGCTGCAGTGCCTGGGCTGGGGACTCTGGCTTCTCAGGGACCTGCCAGTCAGGAGTTGGACCTTTTTTTTTTTTTCAGACTGAGTCTTGCTCTGTCGTCCAGGCTGGAGTGCAGTGGTGTGGTCTTGCCTCACTGCAACCTCCGCCCCCCGGGTTCAAGTGATTCTCCTGCCTCAGCTTCCCGAGTAGCTGGGAGGAATCGGACCATGTTATTGGGTCAGGGGAGGATAGAGCAAAGCAGGTAGGCTCCCGTGTCCTATAAGCCTAGGTTTGAGTCCTCTGCTTCACCACTTGCTGCCTGTGAGATTCTGGGAAATCCCTGGCCTCAGTTTCTCTGTCTGTACAATGGGAATGATATCAATAGTAGAACCACCTCATAGGGCTGTCGTGAGGACCGGCTGAGAGGCTGCCTGTGAAGTTCTGAGCCCAGTGCTGGGTGTGTTGTCGGCAGCTGTTATGATGATGACTGTCAGTGTGCTAATCACACTAACGTTTTCATAATCAGCATCAGACACATTCATGTGTGTTTACTGGTGAACTTGCTGCATCAGAATTGCGTTTCTTGGAAAAAAGGGAAGCTGACAGTGCAATGGAAGCAGGAGATGGATAATATGGCCCTTTAAAGGCTCTTTGTGTCCAGGACTTTCGGATAAAAGGTTTGGTCCACGCCTGGGACCGTGAGCTGTTGTCTGCCCCTCCGGAGCCTTGATAAGCAGGGCTGAAGGCCGGAGTGAAGCTCAGCAGGGATGGTAGGAGGCTTCTTACCCCCCAGCTTCCTCCTCGGAATAGCTTCCAGGTCTGGCCTCATAGAGCCTGTGAATCTGAAGCAGAAAGGCCTGAATGTGTCTGAGACCCTCTAACTCTGATCACCTGGGGAATCCACCTCCCCTGGCCCACCCTGGGGCTCCAGAGGGCCCCCAGGGGTCTGCCGTGCTGACATGCCAGGACCTCGGACTGGCTTCTCACCCTTAGATTCCCAGGGTGGGGGGGTGGAGGGGCAGGGCCTGCTGAAGCCCAGAGCAGGCAGGGCCTTGGCCTGCATCACCCTGCAAGTGGAGACAGAGGATTCTTGGCTCTGGGCTCTGGGCAGGGACATTTTATTTATTGCTGAGTTGGCCTCTGTCCTCACAGAGTTTAATTTCTTAGCTTCCCCACATTCGTCACTGTAGTGCGTATTCCATAGTCATAAGTGGCTTCTTGTCCTAAACAAATCAAATCAAAAGGCCAAAAGTCTCCCTGGACCTGCATAGCATCTTGTGAGTATTCAAAACCTCAGGGCTCCGGCAGGGTGTGGAGCAGGAAATGATCATCGCTGTAATCATAGCAGTTAACGTGCTGAACGGATGCTGTGAACTGGGCACTCTGCAATCACTTTATACTGATTAACCTCTTCCATCCCCCAACAGCCCCAGGAGGCAGGTGATAGGGTTTGGCTCCGTGTCCCCACCCAAATCTCATCTTGAATCGTACTCCCGTAATTCCCCTGTGATGTGGGAGGGACGCAGTGGGAGACAATTTGAATCATGGCGGTGGTTTCCCCCGTGCTGTTCTTGGGGGAGTGATTACCAGATCTTACACGAGATCTGATTGTTTTATCAGGGGTTTTCGCTTTTGCCTCTTCCTCATTTTGCTCTTGCCACCGTCATGTAAGAAGTACCTTTCGCCTCCTGCCATGATTCTGAGGCCTCCCCAGCCATGTGGATCTGTAAGTCCAATTAAAACTCTTTTTCTTCCCAGTCTCAGGTATGTCTTTATCAGCAGCATGAAAACGGATTAATACGGCAGGCATAATTATTTATACCCATTTTACACCTGAAGAAACTGAAGCACAGAAGCAAAGTAACTTCAAGGCGGGAAGCTAGCATGTCATAGAACTAGGTTTTGAATTCAAGCAGCTGGGACCCATGACTATGCCCTAGTGCCTGACTTGTTTAAAAAAATCCGACTTTTGGCCAGGCATGGTGGCTCATGCCTGTAATCCCAGCACTTTGGGAGGCTGAGGTGGGCAGATCACGAGGTCAGGGGATCAAGACCATCCTGGCCAACATGGTGAAACCCCGTCTCTACTAAAAATACAAAAATTAGCTGGGCGTGGTGGCACATGCCTGTAATCCCAGCTACTGGGGTGGCTGAGGCAGGAGAATCACTTGAACCAGGGAGTCGGAGGTTGCAGTGAGCTGATAATGCGCCATTGCACTCCAGCCTGGATGACAGAACAGGACTCCGTCTCAAAAAAGAAAATCCCACTTTTAAAAATTGTGAAATACTAGGTACAGTTTTACCATCGTAATCTCTCTCTCTCTTTCTCTCTCTTTTTTTTAAGGAAAAAAGCCTGCTGTCACCCAGGCTGGAGTGCAGTGGTACAATCTTGGCTCACTACAACCTCTGCCTCCTGGGTTCAAGCGATTCTCCTGTTCAGCCTTCTGAGTAGCTGGGACTACAGGCATGCACCACCATGCCCAGCTAATTTTTGTATTCTTAGTAGAGATGGGGTTTCACCATGTTGGCCAGGCTGGTCTCGAACTCCTGACCTCAGGCGATGTGCCTGTCTTGGCCTCCCACAGTGCTGGGATTGTAGGCGTGAGGCACCCCTCCCAGTAAGCCATCTTAATCTTTTTTTTTTTTTTTTTCTGACAGAGCCTTGCTCCGTTGCCCAGGCTGGAGTGCAGTGGTACAATCCTGACTCACTGCAACCTCTGCTTCCTGGTTTCAAGTAATTCTCCTGCCTCAGTCTCCCAAGTAGCTGGGATTAAAGGTGACCGCCACCACACCTAAGCTAATGTGCGCGCCCGTGCGCGCACACGCATGTGTGTGTATTTTTTCAATACAGACAGGTTTTTGCTATGTTGTCCAGGCCGTTCTTGAACTCCTGACCTTGGGTGATCCACCTGCCCCGACCTCCCAAAGTGCTTAGGATTACAGGTGTGAGCCACCGTGCCCAGCCAACCATCTTCATCATTTTTAAGTTTACAGTTTGGTGGCATAGTACATTCACATGGTTATGCAGCCATTTCCACCATCCCTCTCCAGAACTCTCTTTTCTTCCCAAACTGAAACTCTTCTACCCATGAACAACTCCCCATGCCCCCTCCCCCAACCCCTGGCAACCACTGTTCTACGTTCTTTCTCTGTGAATTGACTACTTTAGGCATCTGATATAAGTGACCCATACAGTATTTGGCCTATTGTGATTGGTATATTTCACTTAGCAAAATGTCTTCAAGTTTCACCTGTGTTGTAGCACATAAGAATTCCACCCTCCCCCCTTTTTTTTTTTTTTTTTTTGGAGACGGAGTTTCGCTCTTGTTACCCAGGCTGGAGTGCAATGGCGCGATCTCAGCTCACCGCAACCTCTGCCTCCTGGGTTCAGGCAATTCTCCTGCCTCAGCCTCCTGAGTAGCTGGGATTACAGGCACGCGCCACCATGCCCAGCTGATTTTTTGTATTTTTAGTAGAGACGGGGTTTCACCATGTTGACCAGGATGGTCTCGATCTCGTGACCTCGTGATCCACCCACCTCAGCCTCCCAAAGTGCTGGGATTACAGGCGTGAGCCACTGCGCCCGGCCCCCCCTGCCCTCTTTTTTTAAATGGAGTCTTGCTCTGTAGCCAGACTGGAGTGCAGTGGCACAATCTCAGCTCACTGCAACCTCCGTCTCCGGAGCTCAAGTTATTCTCCTCCGTCCGCCTTCTGAGTAGCTGGGACTACAGGCACATGCCACCACGCCCGGCTAATTTTTTGTATTTTGTTGGAGATGGGGTTTCACCGTGGCCAGGATGGTCTCGATCTCCTGACTTTGTGATCCACCTGCCTTGGCTTCCCAAATTGCTGGGATTACAGGTGTGAGCCACTGTGCCCGGCCTTCCCTTCTTTTTTAAGGCTGGATAATATTCCATTGTATAGCTAGACCACATTATTTATTCATCAGTGGACGCTAGGCTTGTTTCATGTTTTAGCTAGTATGAATAATGCTGCTACAAACGTAAGTGTACAAAATCAGTTCAAGTCCCTACATTCAGTTTCTTTGCCTTTATACCCAGAAGTGGAATTGCTGGATGATATGCTAATCCTATTTTTTGTTTTTGTTTTTGTTTTTTTGAGATGAAGTCTCAGTCTGTCACCACCAGGCTGATTGTCCTGCCTCAGCCTCCCGAGTAGCTGGGACTATAGGCGCGCGCCACCATGCCCACCTAATTTTGGCATTTTTAGTAGAAATGGGGTTTCACCACATTGGCCAGGATGGTCTTGATCTCTTGACCTTGTGATCCACCTCCTCAGCCTCCCAAAGTCCTGGGATTACAGGCGTGAGCTGCCGCACCTGGCCCAGTAATCCTGTTTTGAACGTTTTGAGAAACAGCCATACCGTCTTCCACAGCGGCTGCACCATTTTACATTCCCACCAGTGGTGCATCAGGGTTTCAGTTTCTCCACATCCTTGCCAACACTTGTTACTTTCTGTGTGTTTGTTTTACTGTAGCCATTGTTAAGGGTATGGCTGGCACGAGATTTAAATTGTGGGGGATTTGTGGGCTCTGTATATGTTGGGCCTCCGTTTCTATGTGATGTGAGGTGCCAGGCAGGGTCTGATTCCTGTTAGAATGTCGGTCACATCATGCTGTGTTTTCTGGAAATACGTTGTTTTCCCTCACTGGACTGTGAACTTTCTGAAGATGTACCCTGGTGCCCCCACGGAGAGCTGGCCTGGGTGAGATGCTGAGGAAATACTTAAGAACCCACTTCTCACTGACCCCGGGCACACCCTGGTGTGTGTCTTTGGTGGGAGAAACGCTTGAACCCTGCATTCATTCTTCCAGAGTGCTCTACGCTTACTAGGGAAGAAGAAGTCCCTGAGTGCCTGAGACGTGACTCAGCCCTGGATGCTCAGGAGAAACTCCCTGGAAAGCTTCATAAAAATACAGATGCGGGAACCACTATCTAGAGTCTCAGGCTCAGCTGGTCTGGGGCGGGTATCCATATTCAAAGGGAAAATTTGGCCAGGTGTGGTGGCCCATGCCTGTAATCCTAGCACTTTGGGAGGCCGAGGCGGGAGGATTGATTGAGTCAGGAGTTCGAGACCAGCTTGGGCAACATGGCAAGACCCCCATCTCTACAAAAAATAGAAAAATTAGCTGAGTGTGGTGGCATGCACCTGTGTATCCGGCTACTCGGGGGACCAGGGTGGAGGATTGCTTGGGCCTGGGAGGTTGAAGCAGCAGTGAGCTGTGATTGTGCCACTGCGCTCCAGTGTGGGTGACAAAGCAAAACTTTTGTAAACAAAACCAAAACAAAAGTGGAAAACTCCCCATGTGATTCTTACAGCACCTGGCCTGAGATGACTGGACTCTGCCTGAATTAGCTGAGGAGAGACATGTGTATATATATGTGTACATGATGGGTAAAGTAAGTGAATGAATGAATAAATGAATGAATGAATGTAGAGTCCTCCCAAGCTCTGTCATCCAGTGATTTTTTTCCACATCTTTTTACTTCCCATGTGATTATTCCGCCAACTCTTTAAAACCACCCCACCTAGTTGTACTCAAACAATTCTGTGTATTATTACGGTCAATCGACAACCCCAGCGATGCTGGCCATAAATAGGAGATTACTTTAAAAACACAGACAAAGGAGCCAAACAGGGTCATCTGGTTCCCACTAAATAAATGCCGCTTTCACTGCAGGTTTTTGCACCAGAAGAGGTCTTATCCTCTCTTTGCTGAAAAGCATGATTAGCACGTGTTGCAGGAGAGTTAAAGACAGGCTGGCACCTCATGGAGACTTCCTCCTGGCTGCAACCCCTTTCCTTCCATGAGTCAGTGCTATTGAATGTCCATTCCCTGGACTGTGTGCCTCCCACACTCATCAATGCAGAGCTAGGGAGTGAGGGTGGGGGAGGCAGGAGCCAGGTGGGTGCAGGGTTGTGGATCTGCATGGGTGAGGGCTTGTTTCTTGAGTGGCCTTTGCTGGTCGCTGGCATCTGCCCTGTGGGTGCTGGGGTAACCTGAGTCCAGGGCATCCCTTGCCCCACAGCAGCCCCAGAACCTCAGGAGGACCCAAGAGGCTTTTATCTACAGGGTCATTGAGCTGGGATGGTCCCTGCCAAGGTCATGGCATTGGCTGGGCACAGAGACCAGAGGGCACAGGCCTGGAGATTGGGAATCAGGAGGGAGAGGGAGCTTCTCCTGCAGGACCCAAGTCCTTGCAGGGTGAGTGCCAGCATCCTGGCTCCTTGCATCGCTTATGGGGAGGCCAGTGGTCTGGGTGCTGGTTTCCCTGGTCTGCTTCCACCTGCTGTGTGACCTTGGATGTGTCCCTTGGCCTCTCTGAGCATCATTCCAGGTGTCTGTCAAATCCATTTGGAAAGTACTCTTCTGATATCTGCTGTGGGCCAGGCTCTGTGCTGGGTGCTGCAGGGAGCCCTGACGCTGAGATCCCTTCTCTCTTGGGGTCTGTGGGCTGGAGGGAGAGGCAGATATTGCAGGAGGAAGAAAGAAGACCAGGATACTTTGAAGAAAATGAAGGATGAGGCCGGGCGCGGTGGCTCAAGCCTGTAATCCCAGCACTTTGGGAGGCCGAGGCGGGTGGATCACGAGGTCAAGAGATCGAGACCATCCTGGTCAACAAGGTGAAACCTCGTCTCTACTAAAAATACAAAAATTAGCTGGGCATGATGGTGCGTGCCTGTAGTCCCAGCTACTTGGGAGGCTGAGGCCGGAGAATTGCTTGAACCCAGGAGGCGGAGGTTGCGGTGAGCCGAGATCGCGCCATTGCCCTCCAGCCTGGGCAACAACAGCAAAACTCCGTCTCAAAAAAAAAAAAAAAAAAA